ACTCTGTTGGGACTACAGACACACACCCCAACACATCTAACCATATACTTAACACCAGCAGCACGACAGAATGCATATATTCATCAGAATCCAAAAGACCATTGCTGATGTGCGCAGTGTATCACATTCATGTTCCCAAGCCATACTACCTCTTCATTTCAGCACCCAGTCCAAGCAATTGTTGAAACTGTGCCTTAGTTATGAAGCCAAGAGGTATGAACTTTAACGTATGATTTTATGTACTGACTCCAAGAAACACATAATACTCATTCATAATCAATATACAGTCAGTTTCTCTGGTTTGGCACATTTTTCCAAGAATGCAACAGGACAATCCTGGTTCATTCATACACCTGAACTAACTAGAAATATTCAGTTCATCTCTTATTTGTAGCCATAAATCATCCTCCTTCAGCCTAGAACATTCCAGTTGTTTTGGACTTAAGGGGCAATGGTCACATTTCCCATTCAGATTTTAATGATTAGGCAGCAGCTAATAGCCCGGAGGACTGCCAATCTACCTTTGCCCCACTGATATGACACTAATTTATAAGAGAAAATCAGGTCAATACCATTAAAATAGTATTATATGTGATTAGCTTACTGTGTTTTACAAAAAGATACTGAGCCTCTGACTTCAGGGGCCTCTGTTCACCACCAATAGGATTGCTCCCTAAAACTAACATGCTGAATGTAAATACAGAAAGTTGTTTTTAAACCAGTAATTTTTATTCACCCGCACTATTCATGCATCTGAAATTTGTCTGCACATAACCAGTTCCGTCTCCCTATTTTAAAATGATCATTTTTGAAATAAGGTACACAAAGTTATATACATTTATCCTGTATCATATAGTTAAAGAGGAAAGTGCTTCATTTGGACAGAAGAAAAAAAGGAAAGACAGTGAACAAAGGGAAGGAGGACATTTCAAAAGCCACAACCTTAAAAATGTATTAAGATTTTCCATTTGACAATGGAGACATGCCATTTTTAGGCATACCACAATAAAGCCTCAATATTAAATAGTAACTTTTAAAGAAAGGTACGTGAGGAAGAAAAAGGAACAAATTATTCTTATCCTCTCTCTGGCATAGCTGTGCTAAGTCCTTTGATTTACTGGATTGTGACCTTCCATTTTTAAAGGATTTGATAAAAGGGAGTTATAAATTGAATGGTCACTGAACTAAACATACTCTTCCTGTTCCCTGGCCACCTTTATTAAAATGAAGCTAATCTAACTCCTATGAGAATCAGTCAGTTTGCAAAGAAATCAAATGGTACCCAATATGCTAACTTGCACAGGGTAGCCTTTCTCCACCTATGTTTGACTATTATCTGCAACAGTCCAACACAGCTGGTGGCAGCAGGCTAAGGAAAAGTGGCTTTGTGTTTCATGGCTCATATGCCTGTAATAGTGATGCCCCAGTAATTTTCCACATGCACTAATGAGCATACGTACTTCCTGTTAAGGAAGAATCATAACTGCTGGGGCAGAGGAGACAATTGACCATTTCCAAAGATCTTATTGGCAATCCACCATTTCCAAAGAACTCAGGAGTACTGTGTTTAGTGGGGGCAGGGTCACAAAAAACAGGCCTGACAGATCCTTGCTTTGAATTCCCCCCAGTAGGGAAACTTAAGTACTATAGCTCCAGAGAGGTATGGCTAATAAAGCCAATCTTGGAATGTCTCAAAAGAAGAAATGGGATTTGAAACTAGGACCTCCTCCAAGTTGCCTCATTTTAGAGCCTACTACCCATGGAAACCCCAGTAATACATTCATGATGGTAGAACTTCCTATACACATAACTGGACTTCCTGCTGTGAATGTTCCCCACCCCTGCTCATGGAGCTTCCCTCTGTTAGTGGAGGGACACTTGTGCCCCATCCAGACCTCTGTCTACCAATGGATCTGTAGCTTAGGATTTCACTCCTAGCCTTTAAGGTACCACAACAATCTTCACTTCTTCCACATAGGATCCTGCAAGATCATAGCTGGATGGAAATAAAAACCCAGCTAAAACAGATAAATCTAGCAGTGTAATTAGAGTTTAGTGGGACCACATATTCCAACCACTCCAAACTTAAAAACTACCAGAAAAAGGGTTCTCTTTCAATTCTGTATCAGAACCCATTCTCTGCGGCAAACAACTTTTACAACCTGAGCACGCTTTGAGCAAAAGCCAGTACAGGCCAGAAGGAAAAGCAACAGTCTGGAAGTGCGTGATTTGGCTCTCAACACCACTTGCTTTTACAGAACTGAACTCAATTCATTTAAGCCATAGGCAGGCAGGCATGCCCCCTCACCACACCCACCCACCCACCCTCAATGTCACATGGTAACACTGTACAGAAAAAGACTACTCAATTTTTACCAGTAATATAAAAAAGTCACCTGGTTTCTTCAAGATGTATGTATGTATATATGTATGAAAGTCAGATGAGACCACAGCTAAAGAAGAAAGCTAACCCAGGCTTGAGTAAAGCCGGCTCTTTTTAAAAAGTCAATACATAGACACACACATACTGCAAAATTCCACCAGGGACCAATCTTGGCTTTTGTCAAGCACAACCGCATTCTGTATATACAACATAAACATGTTCTATGAACGTCTATAACAGTTGCAGATGGGTGTTAAGAAGCCCAGGCTGCTAGTTGCTGCATTTCATCTTCATCTTCCCGTCTCTTCTTTGAAGATGCTGTAGAAAGAGATGAGTAATAACTGTTGAATGCGAACAAATAACAAGGTACAAATTTGATGACTCAGTGGAAAGACTTAGCCATACTGCATACAGTCCAAATTCTAACCACATCAGCGCAAAATGACACCCTCAGCATTGACACACATGACTTCAGTAGAAGGTATGATTATTAAGCACAAGGTCTTGCAGCCAGGTGTCAATAAGCAAAGCTGGGGATACAGATCCTGTCCCCAGGCCTCCCACCCAGCATGGCCACTCCAAACAGCCTGTGCATGCCTCCATATGTCAAGAGGGCTGCTGTTACATCCAGACATGATGCAGTGGTGGCCAACAGATGAATGGGACCTCAGGAGATGAAAGTCTTGGAAATGTGAACTAACGGTCATGAAGGCTTCCCAGTAGAGAATTCCCAACCAAACCCACATCCAAGACTATACAGTTTTAAAAGCTACTCATACAGGAGAGCATCTACCAGCAATTCTGCACTATTTCTCTGCAGTGATTGAACATCTACTAGGACACTTGCAAGATATTTGGTGGTAGTATAAGCCAATATATTCTTTGTTGATGTTCATATGCGATGGTGTTACTCCTCCAAATACTTAGCTCTAGTTTATAAATGCAGTTATTGTTTTGTCTAAAGGTGTTAGAAAGTACAGGAGCATTGTCTTTGTCCAAGGAGTAGTCCCAAAAAGGAGAAAAATGTCAGTGTCAGAGGCGACTGCTAAGCATCAGGTGACCAGTACTTGGAACAGCAACTTCAGCTAGTGTTGATACACTGCAAACCATGGGACCAGCACTGTTGACATCCAGACTATCTATGTCAGTGTTACACTCTGATAGTCCTATAAGTTCTGCAACTCACGCTACAGATCAGTGGTTCTCCCAGGTGAAGGTGGTTCCCAGTGTGCTAAGAGGAAAGAGTGGCAGTGGGGGGTAGCAGCACAAAAGTTGGTGCCCTCTATAAAGAGATACATGGCCAGAGACCCCCACCAACATTAGCAGCTACAATAAGTAAGTTGATGACTGCAGCTCCCAAGAATCTTACAGCTCATAATGCCCCTATAGAAAGAAAAGGGTAATCTACGGATGTTTGCCTTGCTCCCGATACTAATAATAGGTAACCGTTCAAACATAGCAACACTGCACTGCTTGAAATTCAGCTGTGCGGAAAATTGTTCTAAATGGCAAGCTGTTCATATGAAATGGCTCACTACAGGTCCAGGTATTTTCAACCAACCAATGTGAACCTATGAAAGAAAAGTTTGCATGCCAAACTGCATACAACTTAATCTGCATGCCTGACAGCTTCACAAACACAACCATGCATAGCAGCCCTACAGGGCCACTATATTACGTTGTTTATGCATGTGCACTCACAGAGAGAGAGAGATCTCTTAGGAGGACTGCTCTTTTAGGCTATCTGGATTCTTTAAGGACCACTTGGCATTCTAAGGAGCTAGGCAAACATTGCTAAGATTGTGGAACTGCAAGCAGTTATAAAATACAAAATCAGTTGGGCAGAACTCCACATATGTGATTCAGTTGCTACAGCTCAAGGACATTCACAAGGTGCTCGGACAACTCAGTGCAACCAATTCTATACTTGCCCCCCCCATGACTTATTAAAATGAGCAGAGGGGGTAGAGTGACTCGGCCAAGGAGAGGATCAATGCCTCCTTGTGAGAGGGAGTGGTCCTATGCTGCCCGAAAGAAGTGGTGATGAAACTATTCCTGAAGAAACCCTCTCTTGACCCAAAGGATCTTAATGTTCATTTCCTGAGCAAAGTCCTTGTGTGCATGGTGGCCAGCCAGCTCAAAGCACTCTTGGGTGAGACTGATTATCTGGATCCATATCAGGTGGGGTTATGTCTAGGCCTTGACATAGAACAACTTTGGTCACACTGTATGATTACCTCTGCCAGAAAGGATACAGGGGTGTGTGGTTATGTTGGTAGTCAGAGGTGTTCAGTACCTTTTACCATGGTATCTGTCTGGGGCAACTGTCTGAACTGGGAATGCAGGGTACTACACTGCAGTAGTTCCACTCCTAACTAACTGGCTGCAGAAATATTGGAAAATCAGAATATTGTGCAGCCCCATGGGTTACCTACAGATTACCATATCTGTAGGTATGGTAAATAACCAAGCATTGGGTTACCTACAGATCACCATATCCACGCTTTTCAGCATCTATATGAAACAGCTGAATGGATGTATTTGAAGGTTTGGAGTGGGTTGTCATTAATGTACTAATAGCACATGGTACTAATTTGACTTTTCATCTCTATCCGTTGAGGTTCTGGATGTTGTGAATCCAGTGACAGTGGCTGTGACAGTGAACTGGAGAATGGCTAATAAACTCAAGCTCAGTCCAGAAAAGACCGAGCTCCTAATTACTGAAAGGTTCTTCTGCCTGGGCGGAGAGAGATGGATGAGGTTGCACTTCCCTTGAAGAAACGGTTCTGCAGGCTGCTCCCAGAGCCAGTGTGGTCACTTGAGGCTCACAGTGCCTTCTACCGGCTTCAGCTAGAGGGCTAAGCAACATCCCTATCTGGACTCGGGTAGCCTGGTTTCCATAATCTAGGCTCTAGTTTCCATGTTAGATTACGGAAACAGATTCTAGACCAGGCTGCCCTTGAAGACTAATCAGAAGCAGCAGCTCGCACAACATGTAACAGTCATAAGGTTCAAACATTTGACAGCAGTTCTGGCCCTCTTGCATTGGCTTCCTATATGCTTCCAAGCTCAATTCAAAGTCCTGGTGCAAATCTATAAAGTCTCACACAGCTTAGAACCACAATACCTGACTGAACATCTTCTCCAATTTGAATCAACTGGGACACTATGCTCAACACTGTAAGTGCTACCTCCAAGACCAGCTCAAAGTGTGGCAACAAGGAGAAAAATGTTATCAGTGTTAATTCCACTATTATGGAATAATATTCCAGCTGTAGCCCACCTGGCACCAACTATGTTATCCTTTCAGCACCAGATTAAGACTGCCCTCATCTCCAAGGCATTCAGAGACATTCAATACAGAACATTTATGTGGGTCTAATTGTTACTGAAATTGTTTTTTCTGCTCAAATAATTTTAAATCCTGTTTTAAATTTTACACACTGGGATTTTATTGTATTTGTGGGGTTTTTTATGAATTTCTGTTAATTCTCCAGATAACTTTGGTTATTGGGCAATATAGAAATTGAATGAAATAATGAACCAACCAGCTAACCAACAATTGCTCACTTCCTTTTATCCAAATGTTTTAACATTGTATATTAATAATAGGTACACGAACACAAGAAAACTGTTTACCAGGCTGGGATGGCAGTGGTGTAGCCGGTACACTTGGTAATCGGACATTTCTCATTTTATTATTAAGTTCTTCTTGCTCCAGTTCCTCCAATTCTGCCAGCAGCTCATCCTGAAAGTAAAGAGAAGTAATGTTTCAAGAAATGGAGTTCATTATAGCTACAGAATCTTATCTGAAACAATCTTCCAAATATATCTCCACTGAGCAATAGAGAATCCCTTCCAGGCAAATAGATAGGAAAGCTTTTGTAAATTGGAAGAGAGCAATTTCAACAAGCCCAAAGTGACTTACATGTGTGTGTGTGGAAGATGCAATAATGATATTTTTGAGGACTAGCAACTTATGAATTTGAATGCATAATTTCAACAGTTCCAAAATGCACCAAAGAACTGCCAGTTTCACAAGGATAAAAAGATACAGGCTAACACTTAGAACTAAAAGAATTGTCACATTACTACTAAGAAGGGGAATATAATGCATATAGCCATCAGTTCCACAATTCTTAATTTTTAAAATTTGCATAAAATGTTGAAGAAACTATGTCAATACTAACTGCTTAGAGCAGGGTGCTGATCCTCATTTAGTCCAAGAGCCAAATTCAATTTCTGAGACATTCTGGAGAGCCACATCCCAGTGGTGGGTTGCACAAAGGAGTCAGGGACAAAAATACTAGCCTATTCAAGCATAAGGCTCTTAGTGGCAGTAACTAAAGTTTGAGAGAGGAATTTCAACTTTTTAGAATGAGAACAAAACCACACAAAGCTGGGAAACTACTGAATGACCAGCAGTAACGCAAAAGGAGGTATGGTCTGGGAAGGGAGTGTGGCCATTTGAGGAAACTCAGACAGCTGGGTAGCATCCCTAAGCATTCTGTTTCTGGCCCTTGGGCCAGGAGTTCAAGAACTTTGACTTGGAACAATAACAAACTGTTTAGCTGGGTTTAGAGATTATGAGTGACTATGCTCAAGAAGTGGTTGAAGACAATGTGAAGAAGCCTGGCCTCCCAAGTAAAGCCTGATGTGACTAAAACCAAGTGCCAATAAACTGGGAGCAGAAATGCTTCCACACATGTTGGTGCAGTTCTCTAGGCCCTGATCTAGGCAGCAGCAAGGAAAAAAATGATGCCACTTCAAATTACAAATGGAGTTGATCCATTATTTTAATAGTCCCCACACTGACACCAAAAAACCCACAAAAACAAGCATTGCCCACCCTGAGCATTAAAAGAAAAAGGAGCAACATGAAGAGAGGTTCTTGTATGGCCCACTCTCTGTCCTTGTGTTCTGCAGTCATTTATTTATTTATTTATTAAAACATTTCTATGCCACCCCTTGCTGAAGCCTCGGGGCGGCTCACAACATACTTCTTTCATAGAAATCCCTCCACCCGTAATGGTGCAAGCTATTCAGCTGCCTGCTAATCTCATTCCCAACTCATTCTGCTGGCTGTGTGACCAGACTATTCCCCAAAGGAAGCAACGCTAGCAGAGAAACCAGGGGAGGGCCTGGCAAACAGAAACTATAAGCACCTGCTTATGCCTTGCTTCCCTTTTGGAGCTTTCCTACTCAGCAGCTGCTTTCAGGTGAGGGCTTTCGCTGCTATCAGCTGGGAGGCATTGTGAAGCTAATCCCATTTTTCCCTCCCCAGTGATTTTTGATGGAAGGGAAAAGATGACAGAAGTAGTGGGACAACATGGGAGGGTTTCAGTTTGAAGACAACCACATTTAGACCCACTGCACAATTCTGGGAATGAGGCGAGGCAATTACCTCAACCATTTGCGCAATCCCAGATGAAGAATAGGTTGAGACCGAAGCTGCTGTGTTACGGTTCCCCCTCAGTAGGTCAGCAAAATATTTAGAACATAATTCACAAAATGGAAGTGTCTTTATAAACTTAATGGAAATGGAATCTTAGCAATGGAACCAGATAGATCCAAAGCTCTTCAAGAATGGACCCCACTGGGCAAGTGGGAAATGTATCTGAAATCTACATTAACTATCAAGGCCATCCACTCTGATTACCTGGAAAAAAGAAGATACAGCATTTCGTACAATTACTAAACTATAATATATTCTAATACTGAATTTCATTCTTTGAGTGTGGATCTTTTATGTGGCCAAAATGGCACCATCCACATACAAGAAATAGAACATCACCATCACCACAAGAACTTTGAGAGGAAAACCCCAAAAGAGCACTGAGTATGCTAAGCGGATGAGGAATGCTAACTGACTTGTTTGGAGAGACTGCAGAAAACTGAAGAGTAGAAGGAACGGAACAGAGTATCCTGGAAGGGGTATGATTAAAAAGCTGGAACCCTGAACAAGTATAGTACAGACACTGCCTACTGTATCAGAAGTCTCAGAGAATAACTGGGGAGAATGGCAGGACTGTATCTTTTAACAAAGCATTGCATTTATCATTCTGAAGAGCCCTTTCTGAGTATTGAGAAATCTAATTTACTGCCATTTATTCTCAATCAGCTGAGAATTCAAGTGCATTTTTTTAAAGATGTCAAATTCACAGTTAAGTATTTTTGCAAGCATTTTATCTACCACAAAATAAGGAATGATATTTAGGCTGTCTTTTAAAATATAATTACCAACCTCATCAAACTCATCACCAACTTTTCTTGTAATAGCTTCTGTGATTTCCTGGGCAATATCTTGCTGTTCAGTGATATCTTGCATCATATCATCAATTTTGTCCAAGTCCCTGAAGAAAGAGAGAACAAACCAGGACATTTTTCTCTTAAATGGGTTTAATATACCTCTTTTGGAATCACAGATAATAAAGTTGGAAGAGGTCAATAAGGACATTGGACCCAACACCCCTGAATGGCTTCCAGCTGCATCTTGAACATCTCCAATGTGGGAGTGCGCTCAACCTTGCTCTTCAATCTATATACTACTAGGGTAGCTCATAGGATTTTAAAAAAATCATGCAAGTACCATGAAACAACTATCAATAAACAGCAGAATAAAAAGCAGCAATAACTTTTATTTATTTTTCGATTTATATCCTGCCTTTTTCCTACAAAGGGCTCAAGGCAGCTTACATCATTCTCCTCCTCCATCTTATCCCCATAACAAGAACCCTGTGAGGTAGGTTGGGCTGAGAGTCTGTGACTGGCCCAAAGTCACCCAGTTGGCTCCATGGCTAAGCGGGGACTAGAACCCAGATCGTCTGAGTCCCAGTCCTGTGCTCTTAACCACTACAGCACACTGGCTCTCATCCAGTTATTTTTAATGTGTCTCATATTGCAAGCCTGGGAAAACAACAATCTCTTCACCTGGTGCCTAAAAGAAACATCAGGGCCGAGTGAAAACATGTCTTGAATGGCTGCCGTAAGTTGGTAAGCTGCCTCTTACCAGCAGCCAATCAACTCAGCTAACTGGGGTACCTGAAAAAAAATCTCTGTTAAGCCTTTAAAGACAAGCATCTGCACACTGAACTGAGTGTGGAAGCAGCCAAAAGCCTGTGGAGTTTTTTGTTCTGAAGTACTGCAGTTGCATGGCAGTATCCTAGGGGAAGTTACGTACATTGTATTGACCAGTGTCTAAGCAGAGTCAAAGGCAGCTCCACATACAATGTATTGCAGTAGTCCAGTTTGTAGGTGACCAGAGCATGGGCAAAAGTTTTCTCCCAATGAAATATATCATTACATAAAATGAAAAGGAAGAGTGCCCACACAGCTCAGTGACAAAGCAAACATTTAGCATGTAGGAATCTTAGTGCAGTTGGAATGCCCTATGCACAATGTGAGACTGCTGCCTGAATACCAGATAATGTAATGAGCTGTTATTCAGGTAATATGAATTTGGGCTGCAACAGGGCATGTGAGAATACCATATGAATCAAATCTTGGACATCAAGTATAACAAGCAAATTCAGATAACAAAATATTACCAAAGTTTTGGAGGATCTAAATTAGCAGTACATACCACAAGTAGCATCCAGTGCACATACGGAGACTGTAGCAATAATAATGAGGGATACTTTCTACAAACTGTTGTTAAACCTATTCTCCACTTACATATTTTCATGAACTTTTTTCATAGCTTGGGCAGCATATCCCATGTTCTTGAACACTTCTGCATTAGTGTAGGAGTTTTCAAGAGCTTCCCGTTGGAATTCAATGGTGGAAAGTGTCCCATCGATCTGGCTCAGCTGTTTCTCATATCTCTTTTTTCTCTTCAGGGCCTGCAATGCAGCTGTTGGTGAAAAAAAGGAAGTGATGTTAGCTATATATCACCTCTTAATAACCCAGTGTAAATGGAGCTAGTTGCTGCAATACCTAACACCACATGTGGCAGAGTGCCAGATAACAAGGAAAGAAACAAGTCGGCTGAAATACTTGACTGAAGGCAAAATAAAGAGAGTTGAAGAATCAGTCAGGTCACACAGAGATCCCCTAATGCTACAGAGCCACAACTGAGTAAACACACAAGCAACTCCACACAGCCAGTAGGACTTTTGATGGGGGAAAGCAGGTGGCTGGTGACCCCTATGTCACTGGGGATTCTTATCCAGTGTAGCTCTTATTCTGAGGTTTATAGGAGCAATCCATGATGATGAACCTATCTTGGGGATGGAGCTCAGCACCATGGATAGATACTGCAAAGCAGAATACTACAATCAATAAAGAACTCTGGTGACAAAGGAGTCACCAGCCTCCCCTGACTTTTGACTTCTTGGTCTGGCTGGGCAATCCAAACATGTCCCAAGGTCATTTAAGTAACTAGCGTTATTGGAAATCCAATTTTTTAATCAAACTCAAGAAGCCAATTTCTTCAGTTTTACCTAGAACCATCTAGACAGATAAACTACAGTTGTGCAATAGGTCTTCTCATTTTGCAAGCTTAAAATCCTCTTAGTTTAGGAAATTCTGACTGTAGAATCAGATGTCTTGGCAAACTCAGAACACCCCCACACACACACGCATATGGAGCGCGCGCGCGTGTGTGTGTATATATATATATATATATATATATATATGTATGTATGTATGTATGTATATGTGTGTGTGTATATATATATATATATATATAATGTAAACCTAACAGTAACACAGATTGTACCCTGCTTTTAATCACTGGTTGCTGGAATATTCCAAGTTAGTTAAAGCGGAATGCATAAACACAGGATTGCCAGTTGCAGTGGTCCAATATCTCAGACAACTGGATTCAAGATTACAGCTAAATGGTCTAGGAGTCTGACTTGTATGTTCCAATTTAATCAATAAATTTATCCACTTCAGAGATGTACATTTTTCATTGTGTAGTTAACATACTTAACCTGAACATTTCACAATACTGGAAGAAAACTTACTTCAAAGACAGATATTCTGAGACTGGAAAAAGAAGATTCCTCATTCCAAAGATTCAGAAAAAGGGGAGAGCCAGATAAGAATCAAGAGAGTAATCTGAGGAAATAAAGATAACAGCACAGGTCACTACACAGAATATATTTAATTAATTATGCCGTGATTTTGAAGATTGTCAATTTGAAAATTGCAGTAGTGAGAGAAACATTTAAGTTCTTATAGAACACAGGTCTTTACAATGTAGTTATACTCTGAAATAGTAGAAAAATGTCATTGAAAGGATGGACATAAAGCAAGCACAGAACCTATTAATGCAGACTTCCATTGCAGACACTCCATATCCCTCAAAATATAAGTCAAAAGGAAAGTGAGCAAAAGAGTGTTCTCTCCCAATAATTCCATCCATCAAAACGACAATGAAGTTGCATCATCATGACAGAAGAAGCAGATCACTAACCCTCTTGGTACAAGCAAATTTTTGACAACTTTGACAAACACCTCACACCATTCTGGAAAGTACCCAACCCACAGAAGAGTGTTTTTCATTGGAGTGCAGGAGAAAACAAGAGAAAAGTCCCCTTTCACAAAAGCACTTATGGTTCTGTAGATTCTCTTCAATATGTGTAGGTTTCGTTTCAAGAGTTCTTAAAAAGTAGAATACTACAGCGGGGATGGCACAGCAGGAGACCCAATAACCAAATTATTAAGCCTTTTCCTGATATAGTCCTCCTTATATTAGGCAAAATAAAGTTAAACCAATACACTGCATAAGTACAAATTGAGCGTAAAATTACTATTGAAGTTTGCAGTTTAAGAAATAAAAGGGTAGCTCTCTCTATAAAATTGTACAGTTTGCAGGCTTGGCTGAATTTATGTGGGCAAATCTCACAAAACATCCTGTACACTTTGTGTATGTATGAAAATTTGACTGTATTTGAATAAAAGCTGATTATCTCCATTTCATACATGTGTAATAGTCCACTGGAACTCACCAGATCAAGACATCCTCCCTCTCTTGCTGTAAACATCCAAGGAAGAGGCACCGTACGGATGGGTCTGAGCATGAAGTTAAAATGGAGCATGGCTCTTGGATGACTTGAGCTGATAAGGGAAGCACACCATGCTGGAGGCAAAAATGAACCCTTAGCAGCAACAGCTGGGACTCATCCAACTGCTGCTATAAATTTCTGGCAAGGTGTATGAACCAGGAAAGTTATAGGAGAGCAAAAGAAGGGATGACAGACTGATGAAAATGGCTTGCAAGAGGGTCAACAGGCAACTGCTGCCCAGATGGAGGACTGTGCTCATCTGAAGCATTACCAGCCCTTCCTTCACTAAGAGGCCTGGACATTACCAGCTGCAGCCACATCAGAGACATGCCAACTATGCCAAGACCTGGGCTAAGCTTCTTCTCTGAAATACCTGAAGAGTTTACCCGCTGTGTGGTCTGAAGTAAGGATGTGTGAGGAATCCAGTTTGCAGTGGGAATCCACTGGATTTCCTCAGTTCTGCTCCATGGAATCCAGCTCCGTTTCTTGCTGCCCTAAGTCCACTCACACCGTGCATTCACATGGGCATCCAGCAGGAAGTGCGTTCAAGTGGAGTTCTGCTTCCACACATGTGACTTTGCAAAATTTACTGAAAGAATTACATTACTTTGCATACTAGAGAAAGAGACTTGCAATAAAATAATTCAGTAAAGTCCTCCAAAAAGGAGCTGCGAGCAGCCAATATCTCTTTTCTGGACTAGCTGGAGGCTCTAGGAATTGCTAAAAAGATATAAGACAGTGCAGTGTCAGTTCAGCACTTAATTTTAAGATTTCATTGGCTCCTTTAGTGAAACTTCATTTTATATTCCCCCTCCCCCTATGCAGGAGCTTTCAGCTGACAACAACTGGCTCCTGGCAATAGGGCACAAATTAATCGACATGCAGTCTCATCTTAACAATTGCCTTGAAAGTTGCCTGCACTCCTTGACACTTTCTGATAGCTGAACCATACAAGGTAATTCACCAGATTAGAAAACCACACAGATTAGAAAGCAGTATAAGCACTATTGCACACTAGCCTGGCAAAAAATCATATTTAAAAATTACAAACATATTTGCACAATATTCTGGGACTTTTTTAAAGGTTACCAAGCTAGTCACAGTTGCTCCAAAGTGCCACATGGGCACCACTGAAAGGACAGCCAGTAGCAATGGCATGGGCGAGATGGTGAAGGGGAGCAGGGATTTTTGTTGCTTCTCCCAAGTGGTTCATTAGCCTATCACTGCAACCCACAATTAAACTGCTTTCCCAGCTTCAGAAAGCATGATAACGTATCAGGATATGAAAAAGCTGTAGAATAAGGTGGCTTGTTCCCAATATAAATTCAGATAATACGATAACCTAGTTGTAGGTTGTTTAGCAACTGGAAATAGCTCACCAACAGCATACGTTCATACAAATTGTGGGTTAATTATGCATGACCTTAGGATGGCCATATATATTAATAAGAGGACCTTTTTGGTGGTGGCCCCCCAGTGTAGAGTGCCTTCCCAGAGTGACTCATTTCACATGTACATTGTGGTCTTTCTGATGCCAGATGCCACCTTTTCATTTGTCCAGGCCTTTTTGTTCCTTTTTTTAATACCATCTCACACATCACAGCAGCAGATCACGGGTTAATTTATTAACAACTTTCTCACACAGCTGCTCTGAAGACATTTATACTACAGAAATTCTATTCAAGGCTTTCCCACTTCAAATATAGAATGGTCTTCTATAAAGGCACCCAAGAGTGGTGAAAATGACATTCTTGTTTTATAATAAGAAATTTGTAGGTTAGTGGGTTTTTTTTTTTTTTTTGCAAATTCAATTCACACAAGGTGCTTCTTAGAAGAGTCAAGCAAAAGCAGCAACTGGGATTATATTCTGACACAGCTTTCTGGTCATCCTTGCACATGATGTTGTGTACTTTTGAACAAGCTGCAGGGCTTGTTCTGCAGTAACAGGAAGCACTTGTATCATAACCCACCTTCATGCAACAAGGTAGTCATGACCACCTAAGTCATACACTTGGAATGCTAATCATCATCATAAGGCATGCAGTGCAATACAGACAGTAAATATATTTTCAGTGTCTATTAGCAGCCACTCAGGCTTGCTATTATTTTAAATCTTCACAGAGTTTATGCATCTTCAAGACAGCAGTTTTGCTACTTGCTCAGCACTCATAGAGCAGGGGTGCAAAAACTCCTTCAGCCAAAGGGACCAATTCTGTTTCAGAGAAGCTATGGAGGAACATTCCAGTGGTGGGTAGAACCAAGGGTAAAAAGGGGCAGAGTCAAAGCATATTTTAGCTTAAGGCTCTTACTGGTAATAGCTAATTCCTAGGAGAAGCATTTAGACCTTTCAGCATGGGAGGGGAAGAACTCCACAAAAGACAGAAAACCACCAAATGTTCAGTGGCTGGGGAAAAGTGGTGGAGCCTGGAGAAGGCAGAGTCATTTGAATTCCAGAGGACTGGACTAAGATGCCAAGAGGTCAGATTTGGCTGACAGACCTGAGGTTCTGCATCCTTGATCTAAAGGATATTCGGTGCCCAGAAAAATGAAATAACATTTTCAGGAAACATATCCATTGTTCAGCTAGAACACGGCTATCTGGATGCCATGGACTGCAGCTTGGAAATTATCTATGATGTAGTATTTATTTACTGATTTATTACATTTCTACACTGCCAATAGCTGAAGCTCTTGAATGGTTCACAACCATTAAAAACATAAATATTTTAAACATTAGTATATTTATGCTACAGTATGAAATAGAAGTAAAAACAAAAAATAAAACATAGTAGCACTTTAAAAAGAAACTGAGAGGTTGAAATACCTAAGAAAATAAAAA